TATAGTTTTGTTAACAAAATGAGTTTGGTGGTAGAGGTCAGCCAGTAAAGTATGTTGCAGTGGCATGTTCTGATTATGTAGTGCTATAAAAATAGACAAATCGCACTTAGGAGACCATTTGATGGCATAAGACTGCTGTAATGTTTATTTATGTCAGTTTGGTCTAGAACAGGTTTCTGTTCTTGGGTGCAGATAGTTTGTTCCTAGGTTGTAATTCCATAATCTCCTTTACAAGAATAAAAAGGGCTTTGGACTCTGGTTTTATTTCTTGAGTTAGACTTCATAAGGACACTACATTTTTATTAAGTTCCTCTCTAATTTTCAACCTCTGTGAGAAAAGCAGTAGCTGAGTTACATGCAGAGCACAAGTAAAATTCTATAGAGAAGCAATTTTCCTTAAACATCTTAAGTTAAATTATAATTGTTGCCTTTTCTTTTGACTTATGGCTTCATAATTGCCATATTATCCCTAAGCCAAGTTTGATTTTCTTCATTGATTCAAACACTCTCATTCACTTACTTGAAAAGTCCATTAAAGTGCAAGCTTGTTTCTCTTAAAACTAATTTTTAGCCACTTAAAGTTTGCCCATAGTAATAAAAACTAAAGAGTTGAAATCATTATCTGAGGAATAAATCCCAAGTTCTGATTCTGAGTTGTATGTGAACCAATATATAAATATATAAATCTTAAAATATAGTAATGAGCAATATTAATAAATATTAATATGTAATATTGAAAGGTAAATATTAACTCAATAAAACACCAATGTCTTGGTCAGCCCTTTGATTTGTCAGTAGAAGAACTATAGGTGAAAGGGAATCTTATGCATTGGGGCATTAGTTCAGTGGTACAGCATTTGCTTAGCATGAGCAAGGCCCTAGGTTTGATCCCCATACCACAAAAATAAAAAAGATAAAATAAATGATGTTTAGAGTAGAGTGTGGTGGTTCATGCCTGTAATCCCAGCACTTGGGAGGTTGCTGGAGAGGGATTTCAAGTTAAAGGACAGCCTGAGCTACACGTCAATTCCTCTCTTTGAAGAAGATAGAAAGAAAGGGGGGATCAGATGGATGGAGGGACTTACTAAGATTCCGAATTTGCCAGCCATGGTGGGTCATTCCTAGGATCCCAGTACCTTGGAAGATCATGAGTTCAAGGATATCCTTGACTCCATTACAAGTTCAAGGCCAGCTGGGCTACCTGAGAAAACCCAACAACAAAAAATGATTCCTGAGTTCCACTTGTTAGATAAAAGCCAGGCAGGAAATAGCCATTGGAAACATAGGACTCTGGTAAAGCAAAGTTTGTTTCTTAGGTTTGGTGGTGGCTGGCAGCTCAGCTGGGGAGAGAAAGGCAACCAGCAGCCTTCTGACTGCTGAGGAAGTTCTTATAAGGGGGCTGGGGAATGCAGAAGGTGGCAAAAATAATCTTTACAGTTTCAAGGGAAGTAGCTTGAACTGAGACAGCTCTTAAATCAGTGGGTCTGGGTGCAAGGACCTGTTTATCTTCCAGAATTATCTGGGGAACGGCTGAGACAGCTCTAAATGTAGCTGTCTGGCCAGTTCCTGTTTTGCAAGGGGACCCTCATTGCCTGTCTTGTGAGGCTTTTTTACACCAGGAGAGGGTCATCTGCAGACCGGGACTCTGACAAACCTTAAGGGCAAAAAGTAAAGGCCAGCTGGGAAGATGATTCCGTGAGTTAAATGCCTGCCACACAAGCATGAGAACCTGAGTTCAATCTCCAGAACCCACGCAGAAAGCTAGTTTGCATGTCTTTTTTTTTTCTTTTTAAGACGGGGTCTTCCTGTAGCCCCAGCTGTCCTGGAACTCACTAGGTAGACCAGGCTGGCCTTGAAATCACAGAGATCCACCTGCCTCTGCCTTCAGAGTGCTGGGATTAAGGGCGTGCACCTCCACGCCTGGCTAGTTTGCATGTCTTTAATCCTAGTTCCTGTATAAGGAGATGTGAGATCGAGACACAAGAATCCCCAGAAACTCTAAGTTCAGCTAGAGACCTTACTTTAAACAAGCCGGAAGGCAGATGGCATCTGAGATTATCCTCTGGTGAATGTAAACCTGTTTCTCTCTCTCTCTCTCTCTCTCTCTCTCTCTCTCTCTCTCTCACACACACACACACACACACACACACACACACACACGACTAATAACCCACGTGGACTGAAATCTTTGCTCTTTCTCTGCAGCAGATGGACTGCAGCTGTCCCCTCAGCTCTGAATTTGTTCATCTCTTTTGAATTGACCTACAGAGATTGACTAGCATTGCTATCCAAAGAAAGAATCTAATTTACTGGAAAGAACTCCAAAGTGGTGAATGACTACGCTCTATAAGTTTCCTTTTAGCTAATGATTGACTCTCCAAAGTTAAAATTGTGTGTCATTACCTGAAATACACGGTCCACAGAGCCCCTTGAATTAACTGCACAAAATTCTAATGGTCAAGATCTGACAGGAAGTGAAACTGTCTTCCTGAGGACTGTCAGTTGCCCCTCAAGGAAAGTCTGGAGCTATTTATTTGGTGTCCTTACTTGTTCAGGTTTCTCCTTAGACTTCTGCTGAGTTTGCCCTACCTCTTTTACTTCATGTGTGTTTGTTTATTTTTTATTTGAGACAGGCTCTCCCTATAGCCCCAGCTGGCCAGGAACTCACCATATAGAGTAGGCTGGCCTCAATCTCACAGAGACATCCTGCCTGCGTCCTGCTCTACCACACTGGGCAAGTGTGTTATTTTCTTGAGGCAGGGTCTTACTAAGCAGTCAAGGCTAGTTTCAAAACTGCAATCCTGCTGAGGATGGTGGCCTGTGCCTTTAATCCTACGACTTAGGAGGCAGAGGTAGGTGGATCTCTGTGAGTTCAAGGCCAGCCTAGTCTATTTAGCGAGTTCCAGGTCAGCTGGGGCTACAGGGAGACTCTGTCTCCAGAAGGAAAAAACAAAAACAAAAAGCCCCACAATCCTCCTAACTCCACCTTCCAAATGGTGGGATTATTATAGGGTGTATCTCCACAGCCAGCTTCCCTCCTTCCTTACATTTATTTTTAAATTTTGTTGTTCTACTTTTTGAGTCAGGGTCTTGTTTATAGCCCAGGCTGGTCTGAAACTCACTATGCTGCAGGTGGCTGGTCTCCAACTCCTTCAATCCTCCTTCCTCAGACACCCAAGTGCTTCCCAAGTGCTGGGTGGTGTGAGCTACTAGGCCTGGATTCCTTCCCTCCTTTCAAGATGCAATTTTGACCCAGCAAAATAATGTTCAGGCCATCATTATGGGGCTACTTTTCTACGTAAAAATCATTATTATTATTTTTTTTTTTTGGTCTTTTTGAGACAGGGTCTCTCTGTAGCCCCACCTGGCCTGGAACTCACAGAGATCTGCCTGCCTCTGCCTCCGGAGTGATTAAAGCCGTGTGCCATCACCCCCGGCCCTAAACGTCATTATTTTTCAAAGATAGCTTCATTAGCTTCCTATAACGCTAGAGACTTTCAATAGGTTTACTAGGGTAGGCATTTAAGTTCCTCCTTTGATTTTCAATTTTCAAGACTTTTTTTCCCATAGGGATGGAACCCAGGGCCGCATGCTAGGCAAGTGCTATACCACAGAGCCTCGCCTCCCACCCTTATTCATGTTCACTTCTGTATTCAGATCCCTAAAATCCTGATTTATAAGCTGTTCACGTCTTAAATGTTGGCTGACCTTAAAAGTGAATTTGCAAATGGCTTACTTTTGTTTGGGTGGAGGGGGTACCAAAAGAGGATGCCCTCTGATAATAAGACCTTTAAGCTTATTTTCCCCTTCAAACAAACAAACAAACAGCATCCTATCCGAGCTCACGTTCCTCGGGGCCAGCCGCCCTGTAAGCCCTAATAAAAGAATTACTATCGCAGGAAAGAGATCTCCGTGAGGTTGATATTGATCAGGTCAGTGGGTGTGTTTGCCTGTGATTGTTTGGGGGGGTTGGTTAATTGAGTCTCGGCCAGTGTCGTCTAGCTGGCGCCGGGTGCTTTTGGATTTGCTAATTTTCGTTAAGTGTCTCTAGCCGGCTCCCGGTCCCCAGTCTACCCCGGCGAACCCAGCGGCTCCTACTGATCAACAGTCTGTCTGTCTGGGCTTTATTGATCACCAGGCGGCAGGCTAGGGGCGGATGCGCCCGGGGGAGCAGGCAGAGAGCAGACTCCAGTTCCCCGTCGCCCCTTCCTGGCTCGGCGTCCGATCCCTCCACCGCTAGGAGCAGGCGGGCGGGGCGCGGACTTTGTTCTTGGGGGGCTTGGACTGGGCAGCTGGGGCGTAACAACTGTTCCTGCGGGGCTCGGGGACTGAGCTGCCGGGGCATGAACATGGTCCGCGGGGGGCTCCGGGGCTGAGCGGCCGGGGAATGAACTTCGTCTGAGGGGGGCTCCGGGGCTGGGCGGCCAGGGCAAGAACATGGTCCGTGGGGGGATCCGGGGCTGGGCGGCCCAGGCGTGAACATGGTCCATGGGGGGGATCCAGGGCTGGGCGGCCGGGGAATGAACTTCGTCTGTGGGGGGCTCCGGGGCTGGGTGGCCGGGGCATGGCCACTGTCTCTGGGTGACTCCGTGGCGCGCCGTGTGGCCTGAGTGGGTGTGGAGGTGTCCGAGGATGGTCACGTGGGGTCCTTTGCGGGTTTCGGGTGTAACAAAAGCGAAGGCACGTGCAGAGGGCCGCTGACCTGAGACGAACGGTGAGGGTCTCGGAGCAAACCCGGCAGACTAGAAGCCGGGCTTCCCCGCGCCTTAGCGGTCGCACGCACCTCTCCACTAGGGGGAGCGCCGGGGCCGAGTCCGCAGCGCCGAGGTCCACAGCGGCAGACGCGGGCGACAGCGCCAGCCTCCGGACAGGTCCGCCCTCGCCGGCGTCTGGCCCCGCCCCCTGCTGCCCCGGCCGATAGACTACAGTCATCCGCCAATCGGGAGGCGTCGGCGCTCAGGGGCGGGGCCGCGCCTGGCCGGCTCCGGCGCCAGGCACTATTTACCGCGCGGACCCGGCGGGCTGTAGCGGGTGCAGGCGGGAGCTTGCTACGGGCTAGAGGTGCGGACAGCGGGAGTTCGTGGCTGGGGCGCGGTGTGGCGGGGCGCAGGTCGGAGCGCGCGCCGGCCTGTTGCAGCTCCGGGAGCAAGTGCTGGTGGACGGGGACAGCTTGCTTGGCTCCTCCGTCGCCCGCAGCCGCGCTCCATGCTCCGGGCCCCAGCCCCGCCGCTGAAGGCGCCCGGCCTCAGGCACGGCGCGCCCCGGGCGTCGTAGTGCTGCCCTGCCTGGCTCCCGGCGCCGCGCGGGGTGTCAATGGATCGCCACTCCAGCTACATCTTCATCTGGCTGCAGCTGGAGCTCTGCGCCATGGCCATACTGCTCACGAAAGGTGGGTGCCACGGGGAAGGACGCGCGGGACTCGGCCCGGGCTGTAGTCGCCTGGCTTCGGAACCGGCCGCCTAGGTTCCCTCCGGCGTCGGAGCCGCAGGTCGTAACATGTCGCTGTGTTCTTAGATGTCGCGCCGGTGGCTTTGCAGCCGCCGCTCCAGCGCCCCGGGCCTGGCGCGTGGAGGTGCATCAGAGCTCCTGCCGACGCATGTCAGCAGGACTGGCTCGCTCGGCCTGTGGGTGGTGAACTTCTGAACTCCGGCCGGGGGATGGCTGGAACTCCCCTGGCTCCCGGCTCCCGACTAGACCGTCCCAAGAAAACGCAGATTTCCAGCTGCACAGTGCTGGCGTCTGTACCGGTTTCTATCAGTGTCTGTGCCTCTAAACGTGTATCCAAGTGTCTTTGTGTGTTTCTGAATGTGTGAACGTGTCTACAGAGTGTGTCCGAGTTTGCTTGTGTCTGTTTCTGAGCGTGTCTTGACTTTTGAGGACTTACGACTGCCTGAACGTGTATCTGAATATCTGCGTGAGAGTGCGTGTGTCTTCATTTCTGCGTGTCTCTTAAGTGCGTTTGTCTGTGGCTCTGACAGTGTGTGTACCGCTCTGGACTGTAGGACCGGGAGGTGTCTCTGGACGGTGTCCTCCAGCTCTTCAGCGGTCTGGAGTAGACGCTCCAGCCATCCAATTTTCCGCTCACTTCGTATTTTACAAACACTGCTAGGAAAAAGGAAAAACGAGGGAAAAAAGCAGTAGCCGATTTCTTTTTTCCCACAGGACTCCCATTTTAGGTGGAAATAACCTAACTCCTAGATTTCAAGGCTCCTCAACCCCTCCTGTAGACTCTACCGCTTGTTTCGTGAATTAATGTTTTTTTTTTTTTTAATGGGGAGAGTTATTTAGCCTCTGCATCCCCCACTTTTCTCTAATTGCCATGTAGCAGGCATGAGGTTAAAGGATAAGCTAGCCCAGCAAGGATGAGGTGCTACAGTATTTATTTATTTTGGAAGGAAGGGTGTAATTAGCCCTAAATAACAGCCCTTGCTGCCTGCGGAGGGGAGCCTCCTGGCCCTATCAAAGGCTGCAGAACAGGGAGGGACTGGGGCTGACATGAAGTCACAGATACCGAAACTATGTGCCTGATAATGATATAATTAGGGGATCAGAGATTTCTGACTGCTGTGGACTTCAAAAGCTTTATTTAAAAGAAGTCAGCAGCCTCTCCTGTAGCCATCTTGACTGAAGCAGACATTTTTGTTTAATCACTACATACAGTAACTAGAAAGGGAGCAAACAAGAAGAGCATTGTTCTGTGTTTCAAAATACCAGTCCCCTCCTGGCCTTTGCATGCCACAGGAAGAAACCTTATGAAATACAGTTTTAATACAGTAATACAAAAGTCCTTTCTCCTTGCTGAAATGTGGCTTTTTTTAAGTCTTAGAACTTTCCCAGTTACCTGTCAAATTTTTATTAGACTGTTTTAGGTCATAGGAAATACAGTTTTTAAACAGGCGCTCATAAACATTGAAGCAGCATTTTACTTGTATTTGATTTTCCTTTTCTGTACCAGATCTAAGGCTAAGAGGCTCAATGGACTTTTAATCGGTTTTATTTCTTTAAATCTGTATAGAATTTGTCAGACTAGGGCTATATGGTCACCATCACCTGAGACTGAACTTTATGCAGAGAGTAAATGGAACTTGGGAGGTGAATAAAGCAGAAAAGATATGCTACAGAGCAAGGTTCTTCATGGAAGCAGAGGAGGCAGAAGGGACCTGATCCAGACTCGGGATTTCAGCATCGTAGATGGAGAAGCACCATCTCCACCTTTGTGCAGCTGTTGCCAAAGGTCTGGTTTGAGCTGGCTGGCTTTTCGTCCAGCAGCCTGGGTGAAAACTGAGCATACCGTGTGGTGGCCTGGGATTTGGACAGATAATTAAATGAGACACCTTACTCACAGAAAGAGGGAGGATGGGAAGAGGTTTGGAAAAACTACAGCCCTCAGTATTGAATGTCAGAGTGGAGGTTTCAGTAACCAGACAGATCTCCTGATTGGGACCTGGGAAGAGGTGTACGCATTAGTTCGGTTTACAGTAGCATGAGCTGTGGCAGCCAACAGTGACCGCACCCACCTCGTTGGGCATCTCAGTTTCTAGTGATAGATAGGTTTCATGCCCACATCTAAGCCTGAAATCTTGCATTGTGACAAAATGTTAACAGAACCTTGCAGCTCTCAAAATGAGTTTTATAAAGGAAACATTTAATCACTTCCTAGAGAAAAATTTGAGGTTTCCTTAAGGATTTTTCCTTGAACCAGCAGAGGATTTTCAGCTTTGGTGTTTCCTCTTTTAGGTCACATGTTAAATTACATGTAAAGCTGAGGAAGAGGAGAAGTTAGCCTTGCAGTTTTACATCCCCCCCTTTTATGACTTTCCATTTGGGCTGAAAGAAATTGACTTTGGCAAGCAAACCACTAATTGTAAACTGCCTAGTTCCTGTTTTACAATATACTGACTAAAAGCTCCTCAGCATGAAAGGATCTTTATGGGCAAGTTTGCCTTTTCTAGAGAGATTGCAGATAGCTGCCTAGTTTCATAGTTTGAAAACCTCCTGACCTGTGCAGTTTCTAGATTGTTGTGTGTCTAGTTAATAACTTTATAAGGTGTCAGCTCAGGCTCTTAAAACTTGGCTCAGTCCTTGGCGATGGCAAACAATTCAGTAGTTCCGATCAAATATTTATACAGACAAAACCCCAAAGCCTGGCATTTTTATGTTGTGTGGTTGTGTAGGATGAAAATGAATAAAAAACGTGATTTAACTTACGGTAGAAGAGACTAGAGTGAAGGCTGTTTTCCTTCAAAGCCCCAAGTTTTTTTTAATAACTAACTCATTAGAAGTCTGTTAGGCTGCATATATGCCTAAAACATTTGAAAGTTAAGATGCTGCCTATGTTGGGAGCATTTCCGGTGCCAGTGGGTTGCTGTTGTAAGCACGCAACTTGAATAATTACAATGAGTGCCTTTGAGTTTGGGGTTCAGCCGTTGCTTACATAGTTTTCTTTGTTTTCAGGAGAAATCCGATGCTACTGTGACGCTGCTCACTGTGTGGCAACCGGTTACATGTGTAAATCTGAGCTCAGTGCCTGCTTCTCCAGACTTCTCGATCCTCAGAACACCAATTCCCCACTCACCCATGGCTGCCTGGACTCTCTTGTAAGCACAGCAGACATTTGCCAAGCCAAACAGGCCCAAAACCACTCTGGTCCCACCATGCTCATGTTAGAATGCTGTCATGAAGACATGTGCAATTACCGAGGACTGCACGACGTGCTTTCTCCTCCCAAGAGCGAAGCCTCAGGTAGGTCAGAGCTCATCCTCACCCAAGGCCCTGCCTGGTCTATAGGCCCTGGACAGCCTCCACTCTGTATCTGCTATTGATTCTGTTGTTAATGTAATTAGAGACACCAGAGGGAGTATGGCTGGATGCAAACACACATCTCTAACCGAGTGGCTTTTATGTCTCCCCGAGCATTCTCGGTTGGTCGGTCTCTGCCTGCTTTTTCAACATTTTGAGGGTATTAAAAGCCCGTTGCTTCTCAGTGTAAAAGCCTGTATACATGCATTTGTAAGCATCTTTGAAAACCTTTGTAATGTTTAGTTCCTTGAAATGGTTGGTAAACTGCATTTCAAATGGGAATTTCTTTTTGTTGTTGTTTTTGAGATGGGGTCTCCCTGTAGCTCCAGCTGGCCTAAACTCACTGTGTAGACCAGGTTGGCCTCCATTTCAGAGATCTGCCTGCCTCTACTTCCCGAGTGCTGGGATTAAAGGCATATACCACCATGCCCAGATTTTTTTTTAATTATTATTTTTTTAAAAATCACATGTATATGTACATATGTGTCTCTGTATATGTACATTAGTACTGGAGCCCACAGAGGGCCAGAGGACTTAGATCCCCTGGAGCTGGAATCACAGGTGGTTGTTGGACCTGATGTTGCTGTTGGGAATTGAACTCGGGTCCTCCGGAAGAGCAATACATGCTCTTTAACACCGAGCTCGCTCTCCAGCTCCCACACCCAGCTATTAAATGGAATTTCTTGTGTAAAGTGGTTGTGTCATCATGCCTGCTTCCAGGAGGAGGAGGTCACCCAGAGTCTGACCCTGTTGTTTGTATTTTTTTAGGACAAGGAAACAGGTATCAGCATGATGGTAGCAGAAACCTCATCACCAAGGTGCAGGAGCTGACTTCCTCCAAAGAGCTCTGGTTCCGGGCGGCTGTGATTGCAGTTCCCATTGCGGGAGGGCTGATTTTAGTGCTGCTCATCATGTTAGCCTTGCGGATGCTCCGAAGTGAGAACAAGAGATTGCAGGATCAGCGACAGCAGATGCTCTCTCGTTTGCACTATAGCTTTCACGGACACCATTCTAAGAAGGGGCAGGTGGCAAAGTTGGACTTGGAGTGCATGGTGCCCGTCAGTGGGCAGGAGAACTGCTGTCTGACCTGTGACAAAATGAGACAAGCAGACCTCAGCAATGAAAAGATCCTCTCCCTCGTGCACTGGGGCATGTACAGTGGTCACGGGAAGCTAGAATTTGTATGACAGATGTATCCGAACTAGAAACTTCTTGAACCTTTGAAGGCCTTCTGAGTTCTGCTGGACTGGAGCACTTTATCTGGGGACAACACTATTCACTTAATCATCTTGGTCAGACAGAATGACCTCTGCAAAGAGAACCTTGGATATTTCTTCTGAAGGATTATTTGCACAGACTTGAATACAGTCAAATGTATTATTTGCTTTGAAATTAGAAGCAGCAAAGAGGACTGTACACACTGTTACCAGGTCGTTTGCATCCCAGGGAGCCAGAATTGAGTACCTAAATAAACAAAATGTGCTCTGTGTAAGCTCCTACATCTTGATTTATTGTAAAGATTTTAAATATATATATATATTTTTGTCTGAAATTTAGTGGTTTCTTTCATAAATTAAATTTTAAATGGTGGCAGCGGGGGGAGGGGGTGAGGCTGGAGATGTAGCTTAGTGGTAGAGTGCTTGCCTAGCAGGCACCAGGCACTAGGCTCTGGGTTTGATCCACAGAACCACAGAAAGCAGAAACATTTAAGTTGGAAATAGAAGACAGAACATGTTAATTTTATAAATGGAGACCTCTTTGTTAGCAGTCATACTTAACTATAGGACTAGGCTTGGTTTTGATAATGAGATTAAGATCTTTTTTTTTTTTTTTGTCTTTTTGAGACAGGGTCTCCCTGTCACCCCAGCTGTCCTGGAACTCACTATGTAGACCAGGCTGGCTTTGAACTCACAGATCCCCTGCCTCTGCCTCCGGAGTGCTGGGAATAAAAGTATGTGCCACCACGTACGGCTGATTAAGATCTTTATTTTTTATGCAAACCTGTGCTTTTTTTTTTCCCTTTGTGTAATGACCATTATCCAGTGTCTTACCTACATTGTTTCCCATGATAATTTTGGTTTTGGTTTGCATCTAAGAACTTTGGTACGTATACTGAATGAGGATTGTACTTAGCTTTGTGCATGCTAAGCACATGTTCTACAGATAAGCTATACACCCCAACCCTAAGAGAATTCTTAACCTTTCTCTAGACCAGACCAGTTATGATTGATGAATTTCTGAAGTTGCCATAGCAAACATAATGTTTTATCATCTTCATCTAGTTGCTCTGCAAGACCTTCTTAGCTGTCTACCTCCACCCTAACTCAAGAATGTTTTGAGTAAAGTTAACCACTGTCTCCTTTCATAGTTTATTTTGTCTCAAAACAAATTAAATTTTTTGTCTCCCAAATTAACCCAACTTTATTATGCAATACTCCTGGTCTTTATACCAGTTATACTTACACTGTTTGTTTCAGTAGAGAACATCCTTAAATTGACATTTTAATAAAAGCCTTATTAGATTTCATCCCTCAAAATGATCCTTTTACTAATATAACCAAATTGAACATCACAGGACAGTAACACTGCTTCCTGTAACACTTTCTACTTTGTTTATATACCGTCTTTCAAAGTGGATCTTTATCTTAAGTGTGAGAATTTCCCCTGCAGGTTTTTTTTTGTGTGTGTGTGTGTCTCAATTATTTTGTGTACTTGAATTTTTTGACTTAAAATTGAAACTGCAGCCTGCATAGCTGAAGATGAGATTTTCTTGTTTTTGTGTATTTTATCATATGCATACTTTGAGGTCCTTAAGGCAGGTGCCAAATTCATGGCGTAGCCTGAACTGACTGAAAGAATGAGCACCTAGATTATTTTAACAGAAGATGACTGCCCAGCCAAGTCAGGCTGTGGAATAAATTCCTATCTTAATAACGTCCTTGTTTGTTTGCGTTGACAGCTCTTTCTGCCATGCATACCATACAATTTGTACAAAAGATTATTAAAGTTTTATATATCAGCATCATGGGGGGAGGTTGAGGAACTGATCTCAGCCTTGTGCATGCTAAATACTCTCTCTGCTACCTCGTTCTACCTCCAGCCCCCTTGTTAGTCAGATTTCAAGAGAGTTAAAGACTTGAACTTTAACATTCAAATCTGTCTGGAGAAGAGAATTGATCAAAACTGGCAGGTGAAATTTCCACCCTAACCTCATTTTTGCTCAAATAACAGTAATTTTGTTGGTTGAAGGCTGAGATTTGTGCTCATGTATTTTTAGGGAATCATACAAGATCAGTGATCATTCCCGTCCCCCTACAGTTTTTTGATGCAAGATCTCACTGTAGCCCAGATGGTTCCAAAGAACAAGCCTGCCTCAGTCTCAAGTGCTAAGATTCCCTGCCTGTACCCACCACCTTTGGTGGAGGCCAGTGATCCTTTAAGTAGTCATCCTTTCTATTAGTGATTTGGAGGCACATTTTTCTTTCTCAGGTTGTTCTCACTCCATTTCAAGTGAATTTCAGTGAATTAGAAACTCAGCAGTTCCTTAGGAAAAACACCGAAGAATTGAAAATCTTAAACCCTGAAATGCTTTGACATCAGTATGCTCCATTCCGCTGGAAAGCTTGGGTCTGTCTTAGTATGTTCATGGGAGCTGTGCAGTATCTCCTGTGGTTTGTTGACCTCTCCTGGTCCTTCTGAGCACTGGAGTCTACCCTAACCTGTCCTGCGGAGCAGAGACCCACGGACCCTCTGACTGTTCTGGGTTTCCAGTTCTAGCTACGTGATAAAGCACCCCTTTTCCTAAAAGCAAATCTTGATATCATTTCTGTAGTGTTTACACGTCACCTGTCAGATCTCTACAGAACTTGCCCCTTCAATGAAAGCACTGCAAGGATTTTAGCTTTGCATCATATTAAGCGCTGCATGTAGACCAGCTTTCCTCTTCCCTGTGAGAGGGAAGAAGCAGGAGGAGGGACTGCCCATCTGATTTGGTGTGATGATTGGTTCATTAGTTGCCCTCTTAGAGGTGTCAATAGAAGGCTGTACTAACTAGGACCAGCCTTTGTTTAATACTGACATAGAACACCCTCCACCCCCAATTCATCTTCCTTTGTAAGTGGAAATTTGTTCAAACCAGAGACGAGGACTAAAATTGCCATGCTGTTTCTGTATCTACACTCCTAAGTTCTACCCTTTTTGAAAAAAATGATCCATACATGACTTTGTCTTTTATGTTCTTTCTCTCCCCTTTCAGATGGCTCAGAGGCTTCCTAGAAATTGACTGGTGTGTCTCTAATTTCTGTTGAACTGATTTTATTAAAAACACTGCACCATAGGGGGTTTGACCTTCTAAAATACCAAACATGTCTGCTTTAGAAAATCAGAAAGCTCTCCTCTGAAGCGCTGTAAATCTGGTTTCAATATGGGTTGATTATAGGCTAGAAGCCTGACAGTGGTGGCATCTAGTGTCGTAGCTCTAGAAGTGGCCTTTGTGGGGCTGGGACAGCTTCTTTCCCTTAGAACCTCTAATTGGTCCTCTTCTGTGCCTCTTAGCCTAAATAACTTTAAACTTTTAGAGCTGTGTGAACTTCAGCAAACTGGAAGCATTTGAGTGCTCCATTTTGTTGCCTGGAGAATGGGGACAGCACTACGTTACAGGGTTATGGTGCAATGATACAGTATTAGGTCCTGTGTTCAATCTCCCAGGGCCAAGGGGAGGAAAGCAATGTTGTAATTATTTCTGTTAAATATACAAAAGTCTCAGCAGGATTGGTGTTGTAGCTCATTGATGCAGTAGTTGCCAATGTGAGGCTTTGGATTCAATCTCAAGGCTAAGGAAGAAAGGTTTCTTTTTTTAAAAAAAGTGTCTCTTGATGCCAGGCATCGTGGCATATGGTGAGTTTTTAATTGACTGAAATATTTCAAATCTGTATATTTGAGATTTTCAGATCTTTGGTAACCCTCAGGCTGAATTTAGCATTCATTTTTATTTTTATATGTATGAGTGTATTGCCTGTATACATGTAAGTGCATCCATGTTGTGCAATGCTCACAGAGATCAGAAGAGGGCATTGGATTCTCCTGGAACTGGAGTTACAGATGGTTCTTAGCTGCCATGTAGGTGCTAGGAATCGAACCCAGGTCCTCTGCAAGAGCAGCCAGTGCTCTTAACTGCTGAGCATACACTCCAGCCTGGGTTTAGCATTAAAAAAAAAAAATACTGTATTCTTTTTAAAAAAATATTTGTGCATATTGTAAATAAGTCAAATGTGAGCCTTTAGGTGACTATCTCACTATATGTAGTACAAAATTATAGGTATCTGTTTGGTTTTCTCCATCCATCTGGATCATTACTCCTTTTGAATCCATTTAATTTGTTTTTATATCTTATTATTTCTATGTTATGTGTATGAGTGTATTGTCTGCATGTATGTGAGTGTACCCATGTCGTGCAATGCTGTGGAGGGCAGAAGAGGGCTTTGGATTCCCCTGGAGTTAAGGACAGTTTATAGTCACCATGTGGTGCTAGGAATCAAACCTGGGTCCTCTGCAAGAGCAGTCAGTGCTCTTAACCGCTGAGCCATCTCTCCAGCCCCGAAAAACCATTACTGTATTCTTTTAAATTGAGTATATGTATGTGTGGGTATGTATGTGAGTGCAGATGCCCTTGGAAGTCAGAGGCATTGAATTCTTCTGGAGCTGGAGTTGGAGTTCAGGCAGTTATGAACTGCCTGATGTGGGCACTGGGAACCAAACTCAGGTCCTTGGAAGAGCAGTCTGCACACTTAACCACTGAACCATCTTTCCAACCTGAATTTAGCTTTTTTTTTTTTGAGATAGGGTCTCCCCAGCCAGCCTGGCAACTCCCTAGGTAGAACAAGCTGGCCTCAGTCTCACAGAGATCCAGCTGCCTGTGCCTCCTGAGTGCTGGGATTAACGCGTGCAACACCATGCCTGACACTGTATCTGCATGCTTTGCTCATGCCCATTGAATATTCTGATTTGTAATTATTTCCTTGTGGAATACCTGTACGGCTACTGGAACAGTATTTGAGGCTCATACACCTATTTTGTTTTTGGCAGAATGGAGCTGCAGATGTACTGGGGTAGCTGATCCCAGTTAGGAGCAGATGTCTCAGAAGCCCTTGGACAGCTGTGTCTGCTGGGTTCATTCTGAACAATTGCCACTGTCAGTTAAAATGCGCCCACTGGTGCTCCTGACAGAATGCAAGCAGCTACACTAGTAGTTTCTGGAACTTTCTTTGTGGGGCTGGGGTTAGTTAGTAAAGAATCATTTAATTTCTCTGGACAGGGGGTTCAACTTTGTCACTTTAGGAGTTACAGTTGTAACTGAAAAATTGACTGCTGAGGATCTCACACGCCCCCCCAACCCCCAGCCCCCGACAATTCATTCCATCAGTGTTGTGGTCAGTCTCTGAGAATCCAAGACATTGTGAAATCATGAATTGAAACCCTCTTTCAAATTTGACTACCTCTGTATTTGGGGTACAGTTTACACTCTAAATATGTCTTCCTGGATCTACTAACAGC